AATGTTTATTGCAGAAAAATAAACATTGAAATGCAGTTATAACTCCTGTCACGCAAATATGTTTAAGCAACAATTGAACACTTAGTAAAAGAAGACAGTGAGGCTATACAGAGTTTTATGACATCACCGTTTTCTACAAGTAAATTTAGTCATGGCATCCATTTTATTTTGCCGAGTCAAAATCTGTTTATTGATGGGAAAAGATAATGAAAAGAGGTGCGTATGTTGGGAAGTGAGCAAGAAGTATCATCAGAACTGGAGCAAGAGAGTAAGAAAAATGGTCAGCACTGCAGCATTTTATTTTTAGAGCATATAATGTCTATGTTCAGTAAAGGATGAAAGATCCTCCATTTGTTATTTCTTGATGCTGGGGTTCACATGAGGGCGTAGTCTTTTCTATGAACGGTGCATGGTGTTCGGATTTGGTTTATGACCTAAATCTCTTGCAGTGCTATTGAGTCAGATTTCTATATAGCACTAACCTACCGGAGGATGCTTGCTGCCTCTGATTATAACGTAAAGTCTGAATGGCGCAATTGCTGCTCAATGTGCTCATCACAGAAATGACAAAATAAAACTGGTGAGTCATGTGTGGGCACGGAGCAGGTTTTTCAAAAATACAACTGCTGAATCTTTCTCTTTGCACATGGTACAATAGTTTTTTTTTGTTTCCATTTCACACGCTTCCATTTCCTGGATAACATCGTGTACATCTTTGCTATTGGCCACTAATATAGATCCACAAACGTCATTCTGCCAAGACTGGATTCGTTCCCAAATAAACACTCCACTTTTGTCACCAAGCTCCATTACATGCCATTTTTTTCCAGGATACCTGTCTTGTGACTGACACTCTTCAATATAATCAGTCTGCTTCCAGTTGTGAGAGATCAGCTGTGATTACAGTGGTCATTGATGCTTGAAGCAATGACCTCTTTTGAATTCAAAAGTGCAAGTAGGTGACCAGATGCATTTTAGTACAGTCCACAGATATCCTCCACATTTAATGCATTTTATTTAATGTTGATTGTTCGACCAGTTACACTTGTGTTTACAACCTGGAAGTCAACCAGTTTAGCACGAAAAGTCAGCCAGCGAATATAGGAAGCAAGTGGGCCTGTCGAAGTGCGTGCAGTGAATGGGGTCCACATTGTAACTGTTGTGAGCAAATTTTCACTCTGCTGTAATGTGTTCAGTATTGACTTTGAAGCTGTTTATTTTCTATGTTTTCTTTTAAAAAAAACTCCAAATTAGGATTGGATTCAAGATTTTTTCAAAAATCTTCACACTGTTAATTTACAGGTTAAACTAGAGTTTAGGATCAGCTGCTCTCTTGAGGCTTTTAGTTGCACTTCTTGCCTTTGCACATTGAATCACTGGGGGGAGTGCTGAAATTCATTTGCTAATATGTAATTTTTTTTTAGTAGTTGATAGCTGCAGTTCGTTCAATACAACATTCTGTATCACACTGTGATATCTGTCTTGTGCAATCGGGCTGCTGTGTGAGCCTGGAATGAGTGCAGAATGTGTTCCTTTTATTTAACAGAGCAAAGCCAGTTATAATTTTTTTTAAAAAACCCCACCATGTGTTGAAGCTCTGTGGAACGAGTAAAATGATCCAGCAAGTGTAAAATTACTTGGGAATAATCGACATCAAATAGTTCAGGGTTCTGTTTCAGAATATATTCCCATTTTATTGTTTGAATAATCAGCAAGCTACCAACATAACCTGTTGAGAACATTATTTTATGTTTCTCGTCTCACCGGGCATGAAGGAAATGCAGGCTTTGTAAATTCATTGGGAGAGGGCAAAGGAGGTGGAATTTTTTTTTACCTTTAACCTTCCCTTACCACCAGTAGTTGATTTTAGGGTAAACTGTTTAATTACAAGTTGGGTATGAGCTGCTAAGTGGCCAGCGGCAGCACTTTGTGCTAATGACAGACATGTTCATAGTTGAGCACATTTGGGTACATTTTTATTCTGGTTTGCACAAATAACTTAATAATTACAAAAATATTTCCAAATTTATTTTCTTGAATGTACTCCGTACAATTGCAAGCAATTACTTGGCATGGAATTTATGACATAAACAAAGTGAATTGAAACTAAACATTATACAAGAAAAAAAAGATCAGATCAAATAAGCGTTGATGCTCAACATGTAAAATGCTGTTTTGTGGATACTGTCCAGAAGTAATTATATCATGTGTACAGATCCATTACTTTATTGTAATTTGGGCAAATTCTGAGTACTTGCACTGTTTAGGCCTAGAAAAAAAAATATATATATATCAGTGCATCTCTAAACGTGAAAATTAAATGAAATTACATAGGAAAATGTTTATCTTGTGTTGTGATGCTTTGCTGCAATTTCTTGCCTTGATTGTGTCTCTTGAACTTGGACATGCATACCTTATGTAAATACGTCGAGATGTACAAATAAGGCAAAGCTACACAGATCAACTGAATTATGTCTAGGAGGAACTGCCTCTGGATAAACTGGACAGTTGTAGTTATCAGCTGTTACTATGCCCGTTGTGTACTTAATGAAGCGTGGGTTCTTGATGCTACTGATGGCAGCTGTTACTTTGACGATCTCTGTGTAATATGAAATCAAAGACAATTGATTCATTAACATCAATTTAATATTTGCAGTGTTTTCTCGCTTTGCTGAGTTTTACTGGGTTAATAAAATGTAGTTGCATAAATACTTGCTAACCATCAGATTAACCTATGCAATATTGTGGAATCGAGGTATTTACAGAATCGTCTTTACATTAAAATCTTCCTCTCCTGATATTTCGGTCCAGTATGGTGTTGCGCAAATGCTTCTTTGTCACCTAATTGGTTGGCCTAATTTGAGTCTAGACCATTATATCAGCAGGGTATTTGCCTGTGGCATATTATAGCTGGGCCTGATCTTATGCTACTCCAGATGTATTGCATGTAAATTAATGTGATGCTATGAAAGGAATGGGTTTAAAAATTGCTCAGATATCTATGGAAGTTCATTGAGTATCGCAAGCACACAATGGGATAAAATCTTTTATTTCCTCTCCTGTTTGTTTATGGAGATAATGTATTAAGCCTTGATAATCCATGCATTTGATAAAATTTGATATGCTTTACAGAATTTTTTATCAAAAGTGAAGTGACTGTGTATTTGTAGCTAACATGGCAGAATATTTGCGCACAGCAATGGAGAGAATGACAAATCGTATCTGGGGATTGTTGCAAGGACAACGGGACCAGGACAAACTATTTTGTCTTTTCTATCAGTGCAATAGGATGTTTCACATCCACCAGAACAGGAAGAGAGGGGATCTCCGCTTAAAATTTCAAACGGTGACAATGCAGTCAGTGGTGCATTGGAGTGTCAGCGAGAACTGTGAGCTCGAAGTCCCCACGTTGGGTGTGAACCCACAGGATTAGAACTGACGTGAGAATTGACGCTTCTCTATTAGCTGAATTGGCTACATAAAATGCAATAATTACAGTAATTATTCATAAAATATTGTGTATTATGGAGCAGGGCCACCCCTACAAATGTGTTCTGTGGGCTGTTTCCCTGCCAACCGCTACCTAAAAACCAAGGGGTGCAAGTTGTTTTCTTAGCCGTTTATTTAAAACGTGTTTCAATGTGGCGTTTTTAAGTAGTGGTTAGATCTTCACGGAGCAAAAGTTATTTGAAATCTTCATAATGCTGCTGTGGGTTTCACTTTGTGTTAGGAAAACATGATTATGGAAAGTCTATTTTAGAGACTGTTAATAACAATGTCAATATCATAAGCTGTGGTGGAGTTTGAAGTACGCGCCCACATAAAGCTTTTTTTTAAAAACTACTGATTCACCCTGGGGGATGTGTATTTAACACAAAGGAAAAAGAGTGATGAAATGGACCTGAAAGTAAGGCACAAGTAAGAATTAAAAATAAATGGAATTAATGAGAGTGCAGTGAAACCTTGAAGAGGCAAAGTAAGCTGGGTTGAATGGAAACTGAATGAAAATAAGAGAATACCGTTGAATGAGCAAAGGACAAAGTTATGATAAATGACTGAAAGCTTTGGGAGTGGTGTAAGAGAGGTCAAAGAGAAATGGCACATGCTGAAAATCTGAAATGCAAACAAGGCAAGTTATGTTAAATTATCGGGGTTTAAATGAAACCCTACCTTATGCACTAATTAACTGTATTTAAATACCAATTGATCAACATTTTCTGTATATTTTTGGTGCAATAGTTTTGTAGGTTCTGACTGGCGAACTGGATAACGAATATTTCCTTTCCATTTAAACAAGTCTGAATTGGCAGATCTTGTGGTAGCCATTTGCACTGACTGATACTCGTGAGTAAAGAGGAGGAGGAAGGAAATGGTCACTGTTATAAGGAAAGGATGAAGCTGAGCGCATCACAAGTTTATAAACCAAGGGAAATAGGCTTCAGAACACATTTGTGGGGGTGGCATTGCTCCTTTATACACAATCGTTCATGACTAATTACTGCACTTGGTGCATTTTATGTGGCCAACGCTCCCCATTAAAATGTTTTAATTAAAGACTTTTTTTTACCTACAGAAGGTGGTATAAAAGGTGATGTTTAGGTGTGATGACCTGAACTCTTTATTGTCCTTAATGTGTGCAGGGAGGGAGAGTAAACTGGATTGGGGTCTATGATCTGATTTTGTTGGTTGTACATACTGGAGGTAAATGGTAGATTTGTATTACGTGGTAGATAATCAAGTGTTGAGATATTGACACTGGGCTGTCTTGCAAGTGGTTTTCCCCACCTTCCGAACTGAATCATCTTTGAAATTGCAGATGAATAAGTTTCACAAAAATATATTTTCATTTCGCTTCATTTTTTACTAGCCATGCGGGGAATTTATGTTTGAATTGCAACTTAAGAATGTATATTTCTTCCCTGGACTTGATCAAGTGGCTTTTGTTCAGACCTGACCTAACTAGCTTTTCTTTTTTCTTTCCCTCTCTCTCCCTCTCTTAGACGTTTCTGTAGCTGAACAGCCTGAGCTCTTCTTGAAGAAACTACAACAGTGTTGTGTCGTATTTGATTTCATGGATACGTTAATAGATCTGAAACAGAAGGAGTACAAGCGGTCAACTCTTAATGAACTGGTGGATTATGTTGCGGTCAGCCGAGGATTCTTGTCAGAACGGGCTTACCCTGAAGTAGTTCAAATGGTAAACTTCTATTTATCTTTCTTCCTTTGTGTTTTTTTTCTCTTGTTCAGATGCGTAGAAGTAGTATTGGTACTGTATTAAATAGTACCGTAAAACATCTGCCCAAGTCCTGTTGAATTTCCTATTTTTTATAAGTTTCACATAACTCATACTTTGCATAAGTCATTTTCAATGAATGGTCCCAAGTGATACAACTTGTGTGAGGTTTACTGAATATGTTTACCAAAGTTGCAATCGTAAAATATTTTGACCCATGGAATGTAAAATCAATGGTTCACAAGAAAAATACATTTCTGAAATATATTTTTAAAAAAATATTTGGGCCGAGAATTAATTTCCAATCTAATTACAAATCTTTCTTGTTATTAGGTTTCTACCAATATATTCAGGACTCTTCCTCCATCTGACACTTCAGAATTTGATCCAGAAGAAGATGAACCAACCCTTGAAGCATCCTGGCCTCATTTGCAGGTGAGTGCTGGCACTTCATAGGCAAAGCAGCAGAGGAAAATACTTTAATAGATTGATTTCCTGTAGTTTGGACTCTTTCTATATTTTTCATTTGTAAATCATTCTGGTTTGATCTTTTAATGAATATTCTGTGGTAGCTCCTCGGCAGGTTCTTCCCTTTTACAACATTTTAAAATTGCTCTTTATGGATGCTCTTTTGTTCCGGTTGATGCTTGCAAGCAAAGCAGCAGCATATGCAGGCATAATAATAAATCTTTGCATTTGATATAGGGCCTTATCAAATCGTTGAGATGTCTCAAAGCGCTTCACAGGATATACTGTAAAGTGGATTGACCGCGTATTTTGTAGGTGAAACGTGGCGGCCATTTGTCACATTACCAACCTTTATGTTTATTTTCTTCTCTAACAGCTTATCTATGAATTTTTCATTCGGTTTTTGGAGAGTCAAGAATTCCAACCCAGCATTGCCAAAAAATATATAGATCAGAAATTTATATTGCAGGTAAGCATTATCCACTTCATGTAAAGAAAAGCAATGAATGAACAGGTGTCATCTAGCTAAATTGTGTAATCTGTTTATATGTATCCTGAGATGTTATACGTAGTTTGAATGCAATTGTTTGTTGATCATTTAAAACACTATTGGTGAACTTTGTCTGTATTGTTTGTGCCTTTCTCATCAAAAAATGTCATAAGATGTTCTTTACAACTTGAAGTCTTTTTTTAAATGAATGTATTCAAAGCACTGATATCCATGGGGTTTATATAATAATAATAATAATAAGCTGATTCTGATGGAGATTCGGCCTGTTTCATGTCCCCCGCCTTGCCTGCCCCACGATTGGCAGACCCCCACCCTCTGCCACTCTGCCCCTACCGTCTGGAACTCCATCCCGCAGTCCCTCCGCTTCCCCCTTCCCTTGCCTCCTTCAAGATCCATCTCGAGACCTTCCATTTCCATTGTGCTTTCGATCACCCACCCCCCCCTTCCCCCCTGCCTTCCAAGCTCCCCAATCTGGACACCCAGCTCGGGTCCGAAACACTGATCATCTAGCGCCTTGGGACGTCCTAACGTGAAGGGCGCTATACGAATGTAATTTTGTTGTTGATGATGATTTTTATTGGTATTTTTCTTTAGCTTTTGGATCTGTTTGACAGTGAAGACCCCCGGGAAAGAGACTACCTAAAGACTGTCTTGCACAGAATTTACGGAAAATTTCTTGGACTTAGAGCATTTATCCGGAAGCAAATTAACAATATTTTTCTACGGTAAGCTTATAATAACTATTAGCAATAGGATTCTAAACTGGCAAAATCTTAGTATATAGCTTTACGTGCCTGCATGTGTGAATGAGGTTCTATCTTGTTTTTCTGCAGTTTTTTCTCTTCGCACGTGGGATGTCATATTACTTTTTTCTGTACCTTTTCAACAACAATAAATTACATTTGCATAGCACCTTTCACGTCGGAAGGATGTTCCAAGGCCCTGGGTAATTAAGGATTTGCAGTTGATCTGGGGGTGGAGGGTATGGTGGATGAGAGTGTGGCACGGTCAAAGAGGAAGGTCTTGGAGGTAATGGAGGGGGCGAGAAAAAGGGATTCCAGGATGGAGTATCAGAGGGTTGGAGCAGAAAAGCTAAAGGCTCGACCGTCAATGGCGGGGCGGACAGGGTGGGGGACATGGAGCAGGCCAGTGCCTGCGCGCTCATGTAAATTCGGAAATGTTAGCACTACATTTTCTGTATGTTTTATACATATGTGGTGAGTTAACTTACTAATAATATTTGTGAATTAAATGAGCTATATTTGATTAACTCCTGTGATTTGAATCATTTGCAGATATACGGCAACCAAAAAATTCTGCTTCATTTAGTTCCATTTAGCTTGATTAATTTTTGATTGGTTGTGTCTACTGCAGATTTGTTTATGAAACGGAACATTTCAATGGTGTAGCAGAACTTCTGGAAATATTAGGAAGGTAAGTTGCCAAGTGTTAAACCTTTGTCTTAATTCCTCAATTTTGTCCCCTATTGTGAAGGTGTTGGCTTGCTTTTAGGTACAGTTTTTTGGGGGCTTACTGAGGAGAGATCAGACTGCGAGTAGTTTCTCTTAACCACTTGAACTGTATTTATTTTAAACCGAGATTTTGTCCTCTGCCTCTTCTCGATCTCCCCAATTCCTGCACTATCTATGAACACAGACGGGTAATCTGTAGCCAGGAATTTGTCTGATGTTGATTTAGCAAACTCACATGCAGTCCCCCCCACCCCCCCGTCTTCATCTGCCCACTCTCTTCCAGTTCCCCAAAGGGGGGAATGACACACTTAAATCATTGCACCCGGTATTGTGGGGCAGTAAAGCATTGTTAAGCAAAACTAATAGTAAAACCCTCATAGAAATGCAGAGTGCTCAGAGTGCTCAGACCTCATATTGCTGCTTTTGGAATTCCAGCATTCAATGTGTGAAGTACCTAGTTTATATTTATAACAACTTTAGTATAATCCCTAGGTTGTAAACTTTACTGAAGAAATTACTTTTCTCATTTCCGATATTTTCAATTGATAACCACAAATATCTTGAACATTTTCAAGGCTGAGACTGATAGATTCTTGAAAAATAGAGGGATTAGGGATATGGGGATAGGGCAGGTAATCAGAGTTAGGTGAGAAGATCAGCCATGATCTTATTGAATGGCGGAGCACAGGCATGATGAGCCGAATGGCCTACTCCTGCTCCTAATTCTTATGTTCTTAAATATAGTAGGTGCCGTTTGTACGTCACTGATTTAGCTGGTATGCTACTAACTCAACAGCGATCTAAAATGGACTGGAAATTTAACATGGGCCTTTTGTATTTATTGAGTCCTAGGAGACTGGTCCTGTGTTAATAAAGGTCAATGTACAAAGATGCAAAATAGTGCATAACTTTTCCTTCTCTATCTGTTGACAGTATAATAAATGGCTTTGCATTGCCCCTGAAGGCAGAACATAAGCAGTTTCTGATCAAGGTGCTGATACCTTTACATACTGTAAGGGGTTTGGCCCTGTTCCATGCACAGGTAAGAATGGTTTAGAGATTTTTGTTTTATAAATTTATTTAAAAAAATTACTTATTCATTTGATATCCATATGTGAATAGGATATTACAGTGTTTCTTAAGCTAGGGCTTAAGCTTTTGTTTAAGTACAGCACCAAGTGGTATCAGGTTGGTTAAATTTCCTCCTCAAATGACTTGCATTGGAATTGAATTGACCTCCCAATGACGGAATTAATTCAATTACAGAATGTCTGTTAAAAGTTGTATATTGAAAAGAAAAGACTTTGATGTATGACGTTTTGCATAGAGTCTAAAATGGAGTCCTGGTTTAGGAACTATCAATTCTTCAAAGTATTGATTTTATTATTTTCATTTACTTGGGAGTAATTTTCTGCTTGAATTGCCTTAGTACAGTATTGTGTAATTGTCAATCCGTTATCTTTGCTGAATTACAACAGTCTGATTTATGTTTAGCTCTGCTCAGATTAATTGACCTTGAAAACACTTTAGTGTGTGTGTGGCTTAGATATAATCATATTCTTCATAACAATTTGCCAGCAAATTCCTTAGATACAAAGCAATTTACTGAGATAATTGATGATTCTTTAACAGGTATATATATATATCTATCTTGGGGATTCATTTTCTCTGTGAACATTATCAGTGTTCTAATTTTTACCCATTTGTCATGCATATGTTTATCATTTATAATGCAGAGCCGTTGTTACAAATGGCAGCAAGTACTTGAAACATTCTGAGGGTAATATTAAGAATGTTTAACATGAAAAGCACATTTTTTTTTTAACATTATGAATGTTAAGTGCACAATGAATAAGAGTTCAACAATGTTGAATGGAGAAAAGGAAGATATTTAGGTGCAATCACTGAAAGCAGCCAAGCAATATCCAAAAGATTAGATTGTGCTAAAATGCATCTCGGAGAATTTAATCAGCAGAATTAGTGTAGCCCTATTTAACTCCTTGCTAAACCCATGTATTTAGAATATTACATACAGTTTGAAGAAACTTACTTGCCAAATGACATTGATACTTTTTTCCTTCTGACTAATGTATTGAACATTTTTAAAAATTCCAGCATTAGGATTATAATACATCTGCAGTTAATATGGCACAGTTTCGCAGGTTATTAATCCGGGTTTACTGAAGTGTCCATTGTTCATACCTGCCCTCGTAATTTATATGTAGCATCTTCCATTGCTGTGTCAGGGCTGTGTTTCCAAGGTGATGAATATTGTAATCCTTTTAAGATTTATGTTTGTTTGTTAAAGAAATGTCACAGCTATGTTAAACATTGCTATCATTGTTAGGTGTATCAGAGGACTGCAGAGTAGTAAACATGTTACAGTGGAACTTTGGTAATTCCAGATTTTCCCCAGATAATCAAATGATAATACACCAGAATCATTTTGTGCTGGGTTAATTTGGAAGGAATTGGGATGAGTAAGTTTTGATTGCTTTTGTCACCCAATAAAGCAGATGGAGATGGAATAAGCATGCAATCTGTCATCACTGGCTTACCGGTGTGCTAGAAAATCATTGCCAGCATTGGGAGTAATTTATTGAAGAAAATTTACGCCGCTTAAATTATTTAAAAGGCAATCGAAAAAAAACTCATACTATATAATGCAAATCTCATTGACCCAGAGGGCATCTCATCTTTTACCCATGACTGCATGGCTCTAACTCTTCGAGGAAACCATTGTGACCAGTTTCATTCTTGGCCCTGGCACGTCTCAGGTTAGCCATGATGTCAGGCCCTCGACTTGTTGAAGCTGGTTCCTCTGCAGGGGACCGACAATGTGGTCGCAGCAGCAGGAAGAGATTTTCAGTACAAATGCGTTTGATTTTATTGTAACTGAGGTCTTTTGGATAATCAAGACTCCACTCACTGTATTTGGTAAACTAAGCTTTTAAATTATAGACAAGCTAATCTAATATGTGTGGTGAAGGAAATACTAGCAAAACATATTTGTGCCAATTTAAGTAGGACAAAGATAGGTCAGAATCCTCGTGAATTTATCTCTTGAGAAGGGAGCTAAACTAGCGTGGGCTATTCCATGACTATAATTAACTTGAATGTACGGAAGTTTGATACTGCTCAGCCTACAAGACTTTAAAGGAAGTTAAAACTCATGAAATTCATGGAGAATGAGCTGCTGTAGTTGGATTGAAAATTGGCTGTGCAATAAGAAACAGAAGGTGATGATAAATCTATTTTTTTGTGTCAGTGGTGACTAGTGAAGTTCCCCAGGAGGTCTATTCTTGATCCACTGATGTTCACGCTATTCATAAACAATTTGGAGGCGTACGGTATTTTAAAATGAAATGTTCACATCCAGATATGTGGGCAGGGGAGTTGGGTTAGTCAAAGTAAATCATTTACTTCCTAGAAAAGAGAGCTATAAGTCGGCTTAAAGCAATTACTAACAAAGGTCAAATATTGCCATATAATTTGTGTGTATTTGATTTTGTTTGTGATTGTATAGATTACTGGGAAGCCCTTTGGGATATGAGAGAGAATTTAGAATTTAGCTTAATTACCACTGCGTTCTGGGAGAATTACATGCTTTAAGGAAGGGACTGTGTTTGACGGACTAAATGTCATTTATTCATTCTCTGTTTTCATATGTTCTTTGTTAGGCGATGGTAATGTTTTTATTTTGTGAACATCTCAAATTAGGCAGCTGTCATCAACTAGAATCAGTGTGTTCATAGCTGTTTATGCTACATTGTTGAAGTGCTTCAATCTCAAAAAGTAATAGTTTTTAACAAGTCTTCACTTTCTTCAACAGTTGGCATATTGCATTGTACAGTTTCTAGAGAAGGATCCAACGCTAACTGAACCGGTAGGCTTGCACTGAACATTTCAAGGTTTTTTTTCAGTTTGTACAAGGTGGATATTCTTACAAGTTTTCTATGTATTCTTTTGCAGGTCATTAGGGGTTTACTAAAGTTCTGGCCAAAAACTTGCAGTCAAAAGGAGGTAAGCAATCCATTTGCCTGAATACTGAATATGGGAAACATGTAGTTGTTAATCCCAATAGGTATTCTAAACAATGAAGTATTGAGCATTAAATTTGTTATCTCAAATATTAAAAACTAAAAGTGATTCTGCCCCTTTGCGTGAATATCGCAACGATGATTGGCTTTCATGGAATACTTATTCAGTCATTCAATTTGGGCATCAAATTTGGAATTATTAGACAATACAGCCCTGAAGAAGGCCATTTGTTCCATTGTGTCTTTGCTGGTGGCAGCTCTCTGCTTCCTCCCCATACCTTTTAATATCGTTCCACTTCAAATGTTTAACCTTTTTTTAATGTTATTGGCTCAACCTCTTAGCTACTTGTGGAAAAACATTCCATGTTCTAACTACTTGAATTTTGAATTTATTTACTTTAAATTTAAGCACAGGTAGGAAACAATTCATCTCTTATTAGAGATCAAAACACCTTTTTACATTTTTAAATCTTTTTATGAGAATAATATTTAAGAAAAATACTTATTAAATGCTTGGGTGTCAGACCTGATTGACAGGGAATCATCACCTTGAACACATTTGATTCCAAGAGTCTCTAGAGACAGGCAAATATTCTGGGCCAGAAGCGAATTGTGTAGGTAGACAATACAATTTTGAAAGTTTTTGGGCAACAGTAGTTTTTCTGAGCCGTTTAAAATAAAAAAAAAGTTGAAATGACTATTTGGATTGTGCCTTATGCTGCTTTTTTATATTAAATAACTTTCTTCACAGGTCATGTTTCTTGGGGAGATAGAAGAAATTTTGGATGTGATTGAGCCATCACAGTTTGTAAAAATTCAGGAGCAGCTCTTCAAGCAAATTTCCAAATGCGTCTCCAGCCCCCATTTCCAGGTTAGAAGCTACTTTAATAGTGGGTCAAATATGGTTGCATTAACCTGAACATTTACTTCCATTAGTATTATGTATGAGTGTGTCAGCCTGGCTGAGTGGTAGCACTCTCGCCTCTGAGTCAGAAGGTTGTAGTTTCAGGCCCCACGTTGGATCTTGGAATCACGTAGTCTAAAGCTGGCACTCCAATGCAGTGCTGGTGGGTGGGGGGGGGGGGTACCGTATTGTCGGTGGTGCTGTCTTTTGGATGAGATTTTAAACCTAGGTCCCATCTATCTGTTCGGGAAGATGTTGGCTCGATTTTTCTCCCCCTCAAAATTGGTCACTCACTCCACGGCTGTTTGTGGGACATTGTTGTGTGGGACTGGTTTCCACTATGTGCTATTTTCATCCCTTCTCTCACCCCACCCCCATTTGTGGAAGAGCTTCTGGGCAGGGGTTGGAGGTGTGGCTTGTAATTTTAAAATCTACTTACAGTCCTGATGAAAATCAGGCTCAGAATTACCAGGACCCACTTGTATGCATTTTTATTACTCAATATACAATACTTTGTCGTTTCTTTTCATCTCTTAAGGTGGCTGAAAGAGCGTTATATTACTGGAACAATGAATACATTATGAGTCTCATAGAAGAGAATTCTAGTGTAATCCTGCCCATCATGTTTGCCAGCCTTTATAGGATCTCTAAAGAACACTGGAATCCGTATGTACTTTCATAATATCTCAAGTTAAAATGCTTTGTATTTGGAAGAAACTCGCCTTTAAAACTTTTTTTCAGGTGATCGGGAGACTTATTCCAAATGGTACCCTGACTTCTTCATGATATATAATATATACGTGTGTATATTATATACATATATGTGTGTATTATATATATGTGTGTATATCATGTATGTGTGCGTGTGTATTATGTGTGTATTATATATATATATATATAAACACACACACATAGTTTATAGTGCAGCTCACGGTCATGGCTGTTATCTGTTTCTGTCAACAGATGAGATGTGCTAGGCAATATTTTACAGAAATCAGCTTTAATATCGTATTAAATGTTTTCATGGCTTTACCATTGCATGACTGAAGCCTTCCCAAAAGACATGGTGTGACAACCCTTCAGATAGTTTACAGCTTATGTGCAGCGACATACCGAGTTAAATCACAAAGAGCATTGATGTAAAGAGTGCAAAAGAAAGTTCCTGCACTTTTTCCTAGTACTATTTGATCAGCTTCCCAGCAGCATGTGGAGTATGTTGAGAATTGAGGAACTAAGATAACTTCTAGGGTACCGTTCTGTACATTTGTGCAGAGAACACATAGAATAAGATAGGGAACAACTGAAGAGGTGCGTATATGGTTTAATTTGGGAGCCACATTAAAATGTGTTTTCCAAATGTGAATAAGGTCTTAAATGAAAGTTGTTGCCTCAGTGTTTTGTACCAGTGATGATCTGAATCCTTCCATACGCAGAGGATATATAGGATTTAAAGAACAAAATTCCTATTAAGTAAAGAATCTCTTTCTGAAGTGTTTACAGTTTGAAGTTTTATGCTTTGGAAACAATGCCCTCTTCAGGAAGAAAGGATTATGCAGAAATGCTGTGTCAAGTATTTTTAACACTACAAATATTTACGCTATTTATGGAAAGTTTGCAACATTTTCTTAATTTCAATCTATAGTTACTAACAGTAAGATTTTTGACCACTGTTTCTATATGTTGCAGGGCTATTGTAGCATTAGTCTACAATGTTTTAAAGGCTTTTATGGAAATGAACAGCACCTTATTTGATGATCTGACAGCCACCTACAAGTCAGATCGCCAAAGGTAAGAATTTAGTGATTAATGAGGTTGAAAGTTATAAATGAAAAACTTTAATTCACACTTTCAAATTAAGTATGCTTCTTGCACAACACATCTATAAACAGCAGACTGTTTGGCTGTGGGTTTTGTTGCTGGTTTTGTTGCCAATTAAGGAGGAAAATTCAAAGTATTGATAATAGCTCGTTATGTCCTGGGACTCAAGTTTTTTTCATTTTTTTTAATTTCATCCTCTTTCCAGGGAGAAGAAAAAGGAAAAAGAGCGGGAAGAACTTTGGAAAAAGTTGGAGGATCTTGAAATAAAGAAAGGTCTGGAAAATGACAGGATTATCCCAACTTAACAAAGATAACAATGGTGCTAAAAACCCCATGGTATACATTCATGTAGTAAGAGGTGGAGCAACAGTTTTCTGTATTGTGCTACTTACTTTACAGTAGATTTCACATCTGTTTCATTATCAACGCCAGTCGGTTCTGTAACAGTACTGTATATAACTTTTCTCTTCACGTTTAAATGGTATGAAAAAAGGAAGGGCTTCAGTACAAAACATGTACAGTAGATGGATGTCTGAGAGCTCTTCTATAAATGTAGTCATTGTTTTAACTTTTTTTCAAAAAAAAAAGAAAAATTTTTAACATCCCTGTGGGTGGCGCAGAAATATTCCCAAGAAGATTGCTGCAATCACAGTACCTGGATCTGAGGTTCCCTACTTGTTGCTGGCAGACTACAAGCAAATATATTTTTAGACAGAAGATTGTGTTCCCCGCTTGTCCCTGTGACTTTGCTGCATCTTAATTTATAGTTTAAAAGGAGACGTTTCTGCACATTTCTTACCGAGTTTGTGGACGTTTTGGTTTTATTTTTTAATTTGGTGGTTTTAAACCCGTTTTAATTAAGCCTATTGTGGTGGTAACATGCCTCGACACACAGCACACTGGTTGTGTAAAGGTTGAAGTGTCCACGTGTATCTATCTGGTTCCATCGAGGTGCAATGCATAAGAACGTTTGTACTGAGTAGCGTACTGGAGATGCACAGATACACAAGCTGAACTGTGCGTTCGAACATCCATCACAGATACACAATTGGTATTGGTGTGATACAGGACTCAGTAAGCAAGATGTAACCAATAAGTAACCAGTTTGGTTATTAAGGTCTTGGTTCGTTAACAATGTAAGGTACATATCCTCATTTTGACCTGTTGTATATCCCATTTATACCACACACACCCCAAAAAAATTGTGCAACTAGCTTTAATTTAACAAAAGGTTCCCGTAGAGAGACAAACGCCCTTCCCCACTTTGTGCATAGAACCTAGTGAGTGCGTTATTCATTGTGTGTGAGTTTGCTTGTTGGGGTATAGTCAATGTGACTAAGACCAGCAGTAACATTGGTATTGTGTAGATGAATAATTTAATGTGAGGTCATCAACACCATACACAACATCTCAACATGTTTCTTAAAGGAAATGAACAGTAGGGAATTGAGCCATAATGTCTTATGGTGTCGTATGCACTGTATTGATCCAGTTGGAATGTTACACGACCAGTGTTATATTGCTCCATGTGTTACACCACTCTGTTGATGCAACAGCTTTTCATCCCACCAGGTGTGGGCATTGTGTATGGTATAAAACCTTATTTTAAAAAAAAATTGTAGTTTTCTTTCTCCAAATGTTGTTGCAGATCATACACACACATCACCTTCCACCTTTCTCAACTTTTTTTTAAAAAAAACAACTTTACATTTCTCTTCAAAACAAATTACCAATAAGTTGCACAGATTGTTCTCCATTTTTGCCCATTAGATGACCAGGTTAGAAGGTAAACCCGAGCAAGAAGCAGTCCGAGTAGGGCACTCTACAGCAAGAGGAGACTAGATTTCATTTCTTTCAACTTTGGAAAAAATGGGCTATGTGGGCCAAACAAGATACTGCCTCTTCAAGATTTTGTGTTCCATCAATAGTATGCTGTTGAGTTATTACCGTTGGGTCAAATACAAGATATTTGCAGTCAACCAGAACTGGCGACTCCAATGGATACTGTACTCGGAACTGTAGGCTTGAACGTGCTGAAGTAGCCTAAAAACTGATGTGGGTATGCTGCGTATGGATATTTAAACTTTGTGTGATGTGTTAAAACAAAAGTCCATCTTAGGAAACCGAAATTGTCTTTCAAGGATGAGTGAGGTTTGAAAGAAATGTAATACAACTTCTACAAGATGGGTTCAGTGAGACGCAAGTTGAGACTGTTTTAAGTGGGCTCCACTGTAACTTCAAAGTGCTAAACGGTGAATGTGATGGTGCACTCTAGTCAGTAAACAGTTAATAACCCCCTTGTTTAAGCAGCCCTGACTGTTGCTTACTGTGCACAGTGGTAGTATACATGGTTTGGATACCAACACAGGATTTACTGTATTTCATGACAGATTACTGTGTGAACGCCCTTAGGTCCACTTTTTGACCACTTACTGTAAATAGGCTGTAATCAGAAGCTCATGTATTGACCGAGGACTTTTAAAATACAGATCTTACCAATGAATTTCTTGTGTTATTTTCTTTATCATTACATTATAAAGACAATCTTACACACATGGTATTCTCCTTTGTATGGGAAGGGCACTTGGCACTGCGCCATTATACGACAGCACCAACAACTTGCTTTTATATAATGCCCCTCACGCAGTGTCCCAGAGCACTTGACAGCGGTGGAGTACAATGGGGGGAGGTGACCGTAAGCACGGTCGAAGAGGAAGGGCTTCAGGTGTGACCTGAAAATGGGGCAGGAAGGGGCAAGGCAGAGGGGTAGAGGAAGAATGGTTTCGGGACGTAGTGGCTAAAAGCACGGCCGCCGATGGTGGAATAGAGGGCATGAGCGACATTCAGGAGACTGGAGCCACTCGAGAGGAGGCAGCAGGTAGTGAGTTGGGGCCAGAAAGATGGGGCGATGCCAGGGCATGCAGTGATTTGGAGACAACAACAACAAGATTCCATTTATAGAGCGCCTTTCACGTCGGGAGGACGTCCCAAGGCGCTGGACAGATGGGTGTGAGAATTGATCCGTTCGGCGATAGGCAGCCAGTGGAGTCTGGCTGGAACTGGTGTGATGGGTGTACGGAGTTTCGTATGGGTGAGTATGTAGGCGTTAAGAGTTTTGGGTCTACCGTTTATACAGAAATATGTGGGCAGCGTCCTGCAGCGTAGTAGTTAACGAGCGAGAGGACCTGTGTTTGATCCCGGGGGGGGGGCAAAACCAGTTTACTGCTAGGTAAAAATTTACTTACTCCACATACCTCTGTTTACCTCTAAGTAGGAACATGATGGTTAGTCGATTGGCGGATCACTTTCTGGGGGTAATAATCCCCCCAAAATAATAATAATAATTTAGTCACTCCATCCACAATTGTTGATTGGCTACAAAATATACAGTCAATGAATCCACTTTACAGTATGTTTCTGTGAAGCGCTTTGAGACGTCTCAATGATGCGATAAAGTGCTACATCAAATGCAAGGATTATTATAACAATCGAGATTAATTGTTAATTTAAATCATGCCTGTTTGTTGGACCTCCCTGGTTCAAATGCCTGCTGTGTAAATCAAATAAATCAAGAACATTTATTTTGTTGGCTGACCATAAAGATCGGCCACTACTTGGCGAGGCTGAGAGCTGAAAGTCCTGATACAGGGCTGGAAACCCATTTGTGTTTTTGCGGCAGACCAGGCGAGGGCAGCAAAGATCTGTGGCGAAATCCTGCTCTCAGCAAACTGAATCGATTTTTAATGTCAGTCTCCAGCAGGGATTTTTCCAGCTGTGGTTCTTATTCCTTATAAGAAGCATTGAATCTAAATTTATCCTGAAGTGGAGCCTGAATTTTTATCCATTAGCAGTGTAAAAAAAATAATAAATAATAGTCACTCAATCCACGACTGGGACACCGCTGTGCGCAACTAGCTTGACAGTATATCCTGTGAAGCGCTTTGAGACGTCTTGAAGACATGATAAGGCGCTATATCAAATGCAAGGATTATTATGTGAGGTGGTAATACCACATTTTAGCCACTACGTTCTGAAACGTAATACATTACGTATTGGGCTTTAAAAAAAAACCTAAAAATAATGGAGCCACTGCTCTTCAAACCCAACTCAAACATGCACACATATTTTAGTTATTTCTGCGAATTACAATGTTCTTTATGTTAAACAATAATACACACCTAGAGGAACATTAAAGGGTAAACAGCGGCATTATTGTCTGTTGCACGTGAGTCATCAAAGCCTTTCCATACTTGACAGTAAGGACTTGGCTTCTAAGTGGTACCTCACCCTGATGGCATTGCTGGAATGAGGTATCAGTGTGATGAATTGCAAACACAAAGGCATCTCCTACCACAATTCAGCATGGTGTGTCCCTGCAGTTGGTGTGGCAATGTCTTTTTGTCTTCAAAAAGACAAGGCCAACATGATCCCAACATGGCATTTATATACAGTGCCTTTCACATGGGGGGATGGTGGTGGAAGGGCATCGAGAGGGGCGGAGGGCCAAGGGGGGTCGGGTTTGCTGGTAAAGGGAAGATGCCCAAAGATGTGGTTGAAGAGGACGATCTTGAAAGGGGAAAAAGGAGGGGATATCGTTGTTTCACCCAACAGCTTTCAGATATCAAACAGATCGTAGAAGGATTTGAAATATCAGGATTAACTTCAAGCTTCCAAAAAATAGTTTCTCAGAAAGATAGCAAAGATTCTTCAGAGACTGTGAGGTGTAATAACATGTGATGGACATTTATAATGAGAAACCTATTTAGAATATTGAACGCTACATCACAGCTAAGTACCTAGATGTCTGTGAGCATTGAAACATTTTCATAAGCACTCATCATGAGGTTAACCTGAATAAGATGAAGAATTATGTGTCAACAAATTAGAGCTCACTCACCCAAGATAAGATGGCATCTAGCAAATGTATTGCAAATGTCAAAATAATCATCGTTACAAACCAGTGCACGTGAAATGGGAAAATGCTAATTTAGTGCTGAAATACTGAAGATTTTCTCTCCTGGACTTGCACTCGCAAATTGAAATTGAAGATAAAATACTCCAAACCCATTTCTGGTCACGTTTTCCGGAGAGCAGACTTGCATCTAGTTAGATCCATTTTGATGAAGGGCCGTGGACCCGAAACTTTGACTCATCTTCCTTTCTCCATTGACCTGCTGAGTGTTCCCGGCGACTTCTGTTTTTGCTGCATCTGGTTGGGTTGGGTTCACACTCTGAAGGTGAAACGCACTCACAACATGATTCTTGTCAGCCTGGCTCTTGGTAGCACAATGAATTAGAAGGCTGTGGATTCAAGCCCCATGTTGGGAAATTAAAAACATAAGAACATAAGAATTTGCTGGTGAAAGAAGACCATTTAGTTTGCCTTCCACCCTCCTGGCAATCGCTTGATATATTATGTCCCAAAGTACTGTATAGACTGTATCCCAAGACTGTGAACTCATATTATTTAGGCAGACGCTCCAATGCAGTGCTGGGAATGTGCTACATTGATGGAGATGCCGTGCTTTGGATGAGCCATTAAATTGGGGTCCTGTCTGCCAGGTCACTTGAAAGTTAAAGGTCCCATAGCTCCATTTGAAAAGAAACGAGTTTCTCCCAGTGTCCTGGCCACCAATCGTAATAAAATTGATCATTCACTTCATGGCTGTTTGTGGGGCATCACTGTGCAATTGGCTGCCATTCTTTGGCTACAAAATACACAGTCACTCCACTTTCCAGTATTTCCTGTGAAATGTTTTGAGATGCCCTCTGAGAAAGGTGCTATATCAAATGTAAGTACTGATTACTTCACCTTGAAAGGTTTGTACTTGCGATGTGTTTTAACATAATATAAGAAATGCTAGAATAAAAAAGACCAAGGTCATTCAAGTTTGCCTTCCACCTTCCTGGCGGTCGCACGCACACATGTCCCAAACTATACCTCTGTACTATATCCCATAATGTTATTTCCTAAAAGAAAGCTAATCTGTGTTTTGACTGTTACAGTGAAGTGTAGTTATCCTTAAGAACCTGTCATTTGAAGCATTATTTCCTGGAAAAATAAATCAGATTTAAGGATGATAACAGTTATTATTAAATTTTGAATTTTTTAAATAATTCATAAGGTTTTCAATCCTGATAATGCCAAGTTTTGATTGTCTGCAAAAGAAACTTGCGGATTGGACTGAAGAGATTCTGACACAGTTAAAATCATCCTAAACCTCAATGAACCACTCCCACCCAGTAGTGAAAGCACTATTAAACATAAAAATGTATTCAGATCCTTCAAACGTGGAGGGAAGGTTTGATGGAACATGATTGACTTCCTGGGCTTATAATGTCATGAGTAACTGAGGATAGGCTTGTCTGTGTTTTTTTTCCTTCAACCAGTTGACCTATCCTTTGGGTTTATTCATGACTTCATACTGTATTGTTTAATTCTCTACATTTCACTCAATTTTCCTTCACACAGAATATTTTGTGGCTACACAACACGTTATTCATATTTTTATACTTAACCCGATATGCATCAATAAACAGAGATGATAACACTGAACAAGCTGTGTAGTTGACCAACCCACCATTAAGTTGCAAGAAAAAATCTATTTAATTTTATAAAATCCTATTACTGTCCTTGATTCTTTAGCGTGACTCTTAATTTCACAATACTCAGATTCTCAAAGCATTAAAGGGTATCTTTAAGTAGCGTTTCCGAGCTAAAATCCTGAACCGAATGTTCCTATTTCAAGATAAGTCAATAGGATGTTCTTAGGATCAGGGTGGGGCACAAGACCATCTGTATGTACTCGTGGAAAAAGCAATGTAAGACCTTTTAAATGTGTGATCTGTAAAGCGAGGAACTGATTTGTTTCTTAGGTCAAATGTTTGTCTCCTCCAAAATATCCAGCAAATTGAGAGAAGGAATTAATAGTTCTGTGCAAAGTAGTACGTTTTCGAATCCACTATATACATTTTATGACGTGGTAGCACTAGCAAAAAAAAAAGGATTGGATTCTTATTGGATTGTAATCCCAGCTCACTGGCATTTATGCATTGCGGTTTTCAGATTGCTGCGAGGCAGAATCTCTTGCTTTTGCACACTTTCCCATCTCAGAGTCAAAAGATCAGCAAGACAGACCGCCGCACATCAACAAAGTTTGTCTCGTGACATTTCACACGGCTGGTGGTGGCAGTGCAAGGGATATCTGTAGTTGACCACTTCCACCAAAACTAAGCAATGTGCTGGCAAGAAGGTATCACAAAGGTCAATATGGAATGACATTGTATAGTCATCTCCAATGTCTCTCTACCGATTGCTTGGTCAGTGCAACAAGTTGAATATTTCATAGGAACACAACACAAGTTTACTGATGAACTTGGAGCCAGATGAAATGACCATGGGTGCAAATTGGCTACTGAGTTTGCCTGCATAATACACAGTCACTACATTCCTTAGTAATACAAATTCCTGTGAAGCACTTTGAGACATCTCGACCACGTGGT